CCCTCTTCACCTTGTTGCATCCGTTCCTTAGTGTACCAGATCGCGAAGCCATCACCATTCAGATTCTTCTTGCCCTGGCCATGAATTTTGAAGTGGACTTGTAGCTCCCAATCTCTCAAATAACACGGCTGAAAACACAAACAAACACTGTATTATTAAAGCGCATCTGCACACTGCCAAGATGCAAAAATACACCTGTATGAATGTGGTCTAGAGAAATGTTTCTCAGCTCTATAAAATATATATCAGGGGTGTGGAAATTAAAAAAAAAAAAAACTACTTGTCCAAGGACTAAAGCGGGGGCCTGATCTACTTGTCCCTCGTGAAAATCTACTTGTCCTGATGCAAAAAAAGAAAAAAAAAAAAATGTAACCATAACCGTATTTAGCAATGCCAAGAAGAGCTTCTCGTTGGTCAGTGCCGTCAGATGACTGCGCTGACCAACAAGTGCTTGAATTTTGAGAGCGAAATTCAGATTACAATGGCACAGGTACAGATAGTACACCCATACTGGCAGATGGGAAGGGCCGTTCCCTGAAGGGTAAGTATAGTGGGGGGCATGGTGTCTGGACCAGATTTGTGCGGGTGATTCCATTTTTCCAAATTACTTGGGAAAGTGAATTTACCGGGCAGGTGAAGACTTGGGCGAGGCCGTGTACGGTTGCCTCGCGGCCTCATTGATTTCAATGGGGTTACATCCGCGTGGTAATCTCGGAATGTTTTCAATCGCGATTATGTGCATTTGCACGGGCGTTATTGCAGCGGGAAACTGCGCAATCTGCCTTGTGCGACTGGGGTGCTGTTAGACAATAATGGCACTGCCAGCGTGATCGGCGGTGGTGTGAGATTCTGTGACTGCCCGGCCATCCACACGGTATTGTGCACGATAGCCGTGTGGTAACGGATCGCCCACTCCACTCACACAATGCCCCATGCATGCGTTTATTCGCATGCAGATAGGGATTGGTTTTAATTTTTTAGATTTTATTTAACTTTTTTTTTTTGCTTTGTAATATTTTGTTCTTCTATTTTTATGTATTTACATTTTTATTTTTTCCATTTTTATGTTTACATTTTTAAGTGTTATATATTTTATTTTTTACTTGACTTTATTGCTTACTTGACTTTATTGCTATCACACAAAGGTAACAAGCCCTTGTGTGATAGCTTTTGGAGGTGACAGGTTCTCTTTATTGACCCTGTCACCTCCAACACAGGAGTTCTAGCACAGCTCTGTGCTATTTCTCCTGTGACAGACAGCTGGGAGCAGTACACGGCTGGCCACTGGAGATAGAGAGAGGAGAGGGGAGGGGGGAGGAGAGGAGAAGAGTGATTCAGGCAGTTTGAGAGTGATTTTTGGACGGCTGTACAAAACGGCTCCCACACTACATTTAGCAGTGCGGCTTGCGCGCAGGCGGGCTAAATGTAGAAAAAAAACTACTCGGCCGACACTGCCCTGGGCGTCGGGCGATAGGAATTCCACACCAGTGTGTGTGTGTGTGTGTGTGTGTGTGTGAGATAGATAGATATATCTATCAATCTATCTATCTATCTATCTATCTATCTATCTATCTATCTATCTATCTATCTATCTATCTATCTATCTATCTATCTATCTATCTATCTATATAT